CTAGTTTCTGCCATACTCTTTTCCAGTTTTCCCAGCAGTTTTTTTCTTTTTTCTTTTTAAAAAATTTTTTTTTAATATTTTTTTTCACTTCCACAAGTTTTTGAGTTCCAAATTTCTCACCTCTCCCCCCACCCCAAGATGGCATGCATTCTGAATACCCCTTCCCCTGGTCTGCCTTCTCTTCTATCTCTCCCCCCTCCCTTCTCTTATCCCCTTCTCCTTCTATTTTCCTGTAGAGCAGGATAGACTTCTGTACCCCCATTTCCTGTATTTCTTATTTCCCAGTTGCGTGTGAAAACATTTTTTTAAAACATGAGTTTTTAAAACTTTGAGTTCCAAATTTTCTCCCTTCCTCCCTCCCCACCCACCCTCATTGAAAAGGCAAGCAACTCAGTATAGGTTGTACATGTGCAGTTTTGCAAAACACTTCCTTAGTAGACATGTTGTGAAAAAGTAACTCTATTTCCCTTAATCCTATCCTGCCCTCCCATTATTCTATTCTTTCTTTTGACCCTGTCCTCCTCAGAAGTATTTACTTCTGATTACCCCTTTCCCAATCTGCCCTCCTCTCTATCACCCCCTGCTCTCTTGTCCCCTTCTCCCCCTATTTTCCTGTAGGGTAAGACAGATTTCCATACCAATTGAATGTGTATGTTATTCCTCCTTAAGCCAAATCCTATGAGAATAAGATTCCCTCATTCCCTCTCACCTTCCCCTGTTTTCCCTCCACTGTGAGAGACTTTTCTTTTCTGTTTTTTTTTGTGAGATAATTTACCCCATTCTACCTCTCCCTTTCTTCTCCGAGTATCATTCTCTCTCATCCCTTAATTTTATTCTCCAGATATGACCCCTTAATCTTCAACTCACCCTGTGCCCTCTATCTATCTATATATACATACATACAATTTTTTTCCCTCAACTATCCTAATACTGACAAAGTTCTCATGAGTTACAAATATCATCTTTCCATGCAGGAATGTAAACAATTCAATCTTAATAAGTCTCTTATGATTTCTCTTTCCTGTTTACCTCTTCATGTTCCACTTGAGTCCTGTATTTGAAAGTCAAATTTTCTGTTTAGCTCTGGTCTTTTCATCAGGAATGCTTGAAAGTCCTCTATTTCACTGAATGACCATTTTTCCCCCTGAAGGATTATACTCAGTTTTGCTGGGTAGGTGATTCTTGGTTGTAATCCTATGGCCTTTGCCCTCCGGAATATTATATTCCATGCCCTGAGGTCCTTTAATGTAGAAGCTGCTAAATCTTGTGTTATCCTGATTGTGTTTCCACAGTACTTGAATTGTTTCCTTCTGGCAGCTTGTAATATTTTCTGGGAACTCTGGAATTTGGCTACAATATTCCTAGGAGTTTTCCTTTGGGATCTCTTTCAGGAGGAGATCTGTGGATTCTTTCAATTTCTATTTTGCCCTCTGGTTCTAAATATCAGGGCAGTTTTCCTTGATAATTTCTTGAAAGATGATGTCTAGGCTCTTTTTTTGATCATGGCTTTCAGATAGTCCAATAATTTTTAAATTGTCTCTCCTGGATCTGTTTTCCAGGTCAGTTGTTTTTCCAATGAGATATTTCACATTGTTTTCTAATTTTTCATTCTTTTGATTTGTTTTACAGTGTCTTGATTTCTCATAAAGTCACTAGCTTCCAATTGCTCTATTCTAATTTTTAAGGAAGTATTTTCTTCAGTAATCTTTTGGACTTCCTTTTCCAATTTTCCAATTTTTCTTTTTAGGGCATTTTTCTCCTCATTGGCTTTTTGGACCTCTTTTGCCATTTGGGTTAGGCTTTTTTTAAGGTGTTATTTTCTTCAGTATTTTTTGGGTCTCCTTTAGCAAGCTGTTGACTTGTTTTTCATGATTTTCTTGCATCACTCTCATTTCTCTTCCCAGTTTTTCCTCTACTTCCCTTACTTGCTTCTCAAAATCCCTTTTGAGCTCTTCCAAGGCCTGGGACTGATTCATATTTTTCTTGGAGGCTTTGGATGTAGGAGCTTTGATTTTGTTGTCTTCTTCTGTTTGTATATTTTGATCTTCTTTTTCACCAAAGTAAGATAATATAGTCTGACTGTTTTTGTGCTGCTTGCTCATGATCCCAGCCAATTACTTGAGTTTTAAACTCTTTGTTAAGGTAACAGTCTGCTTCCAATGTGGAGAATGTACTGTCCCAAGCTTCAGGGGTTTGTATAGCTGTTTTCAGAGCTACTTGTAGGGACCTGTAAATTTTCAGTTCTTCTAAGGTGGTATGATAAGGGGCGAGGTGTTTACTCCTTTCCTGGCCTATGACCACAAGTATTCCTTTCCGTTTCTGTAACTGTGAGGAGGGATTCCTCTCCATAACCACTACAAGCTCCACCACGCCAGCACTCCTCCTCACCCCAGCACCGCTTCCCAGAACTGTGACCCAGATCCACACACGGGCAAAGCAAGAGATTCCTGCCTCAGCACTGGCAAAGAGATCCCTACAGTCCCTCTCTGATCAGCCACTGGATTCCCCCTCAGTCTGTGGGCTGGAAGCTGGGGAAGCAGCTGCCCCCCGCAGGGCCAGGCTCTTGGGGAATGGAGCTGAAACCCCGCCTTCCTCTCTGACCACCAACAGAAACAGACTTTTCCCACTGACCTTCTAAGTTGTCTTTGGCATTCGTGGATTGAGGAGTCTGGAAACCTCCACAGCTGCCCACAATTCAGTCCTCTGAGGCCTGCTCCAGGTTTGCTGAGGCCTGCGTGCCCACGCTGCACTCCCAGCCCTGCGTGATACACCTTTCTGATCAATCATCCAGGTTGTCTTGGGCTGGAAATTTGTTTCACTTTGTCTTTTTGTGGGTTCTGCTGCTTCAGAATTTGTTTAGAGCCATTTTTTATGAGTATTTGGAGGGGTTTGGGGGAGAGCTCAAGCAAGTCACTGCTTTCACTCTGCCATCTTGGCTCCATTCCCCCCAGCAGTTTTTTTCAAAGAGTGGGTTTTTATCCCAGAAGCTGGGGTCTTTGGGTTTATCAAATAATAGATTACTATAGTTATTGACTACTGTGTCTTGCATATTTAACCTATTCCACTGATCCACCTCCCTATTTCTTAGCCAGTATCAAGCAGTTTTGATGATTGCTGCTTTATAATACAGTTTAAGATTTGGAATTGCTAGGCCACCTTCCCCTGCATTTCTTTTCATTAGTTCCTTTGATATTCTGGACCTTTTGTTTTTCCAAATGAATCTTGTTATTATTTTTTCTAACTCTATAAAATAATTTTTTGGTTGTTTGATTGGTATGGCACTGAATAAGTAAATTAGCTTAGGAGTCTGTATTCTTTCAGGAGAGATAATATGTGTTTATGCAATATAAGTATAGGAGAATTTAGAGAGGAGGCACTAACAACTATGTGGGGATCAGGAAAGATTTAATAGATGGTGGTGTTTGACCAGAAGTATGACAGAAATCAGAGATTCTAAGGAATTCATCTAATATACTGAAATATGATCTGGCTTTTGATGGATAGGCAGAATTTAGCAAGTAGATTCTGGGAGCATATGTGGGCATTGTAATTCAAGAGAAAAGTATGTGCAAAGGTACTGTTAGACAAGAAGTGGAGGGTATATGGGGTATAGCTAATTATCTTGTTTGCCTAGAATGTGATGTTCAATGTGTTCTCGAAGATGATATATTAAAGTAACAACATCTTATGTTTACTTTTAATTTCTTCACAGTATTTTTACATCTTTGATTTACTCTTGTCTTCACAAAAATTCTTGGAGGAAAATGAATCTTTAGGATGAAATGTAACATGTGTTGTTTGGCTGCTAGGTGGTGTAGGGGATGGAAAGTGCTGGCCTTGAGTCACAAAAGCCTGAATTCAAATTCAGCTTCAGACAGTTAACTAGCTATGTGGCTCTGAACAAGTCTTTTTTTCACCCAGTTTTCTCATCTGTAAAGTGGTGAAGATAAAATGAGATATTTGTCAATCTTAAAGCATCATATAAATGCTAGCTATCATTATTCTGATGATGATGATGATGGTGTGTTTAAAGATATTTATTCACAACCTCTTGCCTTTATGCTTTTCTTACCTTCTTAACATTCTACTCTTTTCTATACGTTCAAGACACAGTATATCTGCTTTCTTTTCTTGGTAGCGGTTGTGCCTCTTGCTTGGAAGGCTGCCCGTCCTCAATTCTATCTTTTCGTTTCCCTGGCTTCTTCAAGACTCAAATCTTCCATTTTGCATGGGTTTTTTTTTTCTTCTCTTTGTCTGTACGGTGGCTAGTGCCTTCCCCAGTAAGATTATTTTGCATCTACTCTTTATATATCTTGTATGTACTTAGTTATTTTCACTGAGTCCCTAAAGAATGTAAACTCCTTGAGGACAGGGGCTGCTTTGCTTTTTCTTTGTGTTTTCCTTCTTTAGCATTGGTACTAGGCACTAACAGTACATGGTAGGCACTTAATAAAAACTTGTCGATTGATTGATTCACAGAGTTCAATGACTTGTCCAAAATTATGCATAGTGAGCTTTTGGTTGAACTTGGAGAAAGTACTTTCCCTTAAGTGACTTCCCTTTGTGATGACTTCTGAAATCTTCTGAGCTTTAAATGAATATCATTAGGGCTTGGTGATTTGAATGCATCTGATTGTTTTTTTTTTTAAGTAATCTTGTATGTATTTTTTCCCTATTTCAGCCTCAGTACCTTTCTGTCTTGGTTGTTGCTTCTTGAATTGGTTAATTTAATCATATTTAATTTGGGGGGATAATAATTGAACAACAAAACAATTAAAAACCTATTAATTAGTGTTATATTACTAGCTTATATTTTATATATTTTCAATAGAATCTTTTCAAAATGATTGCTAAATGGGGAAATTATTATGGTATTCAATTTTGAATTCTTTTTGGTATGTTCTATTAATGTCTGGCTGTTATATGTTTAGGCTTTGTTTTCAATTTTCTGATGTATAAATGCCAAAAATGATAATGTATGTTTTCATTTAATTTTTTAGACCATTATAGAACTCTCTGAGGAACGAGATGGTATTCATTTTCTACCTCACGCCTCATCAGCACAGTCACCTTGTGGTTCTCCAGGCATGAAACGGACTGAAAGTAGACAACATTTATCAGTAGAACTGGCAGATGCGAAGGCAAAGATAAGAAGGCTTAGGCAGGAGTTGTAAGTTCACATTGATTTTAAGTCACCTTTTCTGTGGCTTGGAAACTCTTAGGTTGATGAAATATAGATCAATTATTTTATAGTTTCATGTTACAAAATCAGTATGCTATCATCTTTGTATTGGCATTACTATTGCAAAGATTAAACTCTGTATGTGGGTATGTATAATTAAATTAGGAGTGTATTTGTTATGAAAAGAGTGCTAAATTGGAGTCAGGAGAAGACCTGAGTTTAAATATTGCTTTTGTTATTAACTGGTTGGGTGAATGTGGACAAATCACTTCCCCTTTCTAAGTCTCAGTTTCTTTATCTGTAAGAGGATACTAATACTTGTAGTACTTACCTTATTAGGTTATTGTGAGAATCAAATGGATAATTTGTATAAAGCACTTTGCAAAACCTGAAGTATTATATAGTTGTCATATGTGTTGTATAATTGTTTGAATTTTTAATTCAAACTAGTAATATAATTAATAAATGAAGAAAAAGCAAAAATTTAGAGTCAGTATACTCAAAGTATGTTAAATCCTCAAAGAGTAGAAACCTGTATAATGCATACACTGTGTTGATTTGTGTAAGAAGACCACACAGACGTATGTTGCACTCGATAAGGGGGCCCCAAAAGGAGAGAGGCTTCTCTTCCACTGCAGCTCTGTCTTTTTACAGTTTAGGTTTTTTTTTTCTCCTGTAATTTGTATTGGAAGAATGTCAGTTGAAATCTATAGACCAGTCTAGGAATTATCTTAATGTGTCTGAAACTGACTGAATTAAGTATTTTGTAGAATCATGCAGAGAAAATCCTATCATGGTCTATAGGAACATTAGAAAACAGAAAGCTGCAGCTTTCATTTGTGGATATCTGCATTATTACATGTCTCTTGAATTAGACACGCCCAGGATATTCTACAAACAGCTGTGCTGGGAAAATTGTGAAAAGATTGCAGTTATTAGTTTGATTGGCAGTTAATAGATAGCCTAAACATTGAACACTGGTATGTCCTGTATAATTTAGTAGAGTCCTCTCAAGTCTTTAGATAAAGCATGCAATTAGGACTGTAATAATGACTATGAATAGTTTAACATTTTATACCACATTTAGATTTAATTTGTAAGTAAATTTTACTTGACCATAGGGGTATCTTCAAAATCCTAGAGAATTTTGTGCAATATTTGATTAAATAAAAATTACAAAAATTCAAGATGATAAGTTTTTTGAGTGAGAATTATGCTGAAGATAAAAATTATTCCAGGTATATTACTTAAAGCACAAATTAGTTGCTAGTATCTCATTTTCTTGTGAAATTCCTTTTGCACATTTATAACACACTCTTTGTAGGACATTTTCAAAAAAGGAAACAGATTTAGTACAAAATGGACTTGCAATGATTAAGACAATCAAATAATCTGAGTAGTATATCTAGCGGAAAAGGCACACTTGCTAAAATACTAACATTTCATAAATCAGCATTATAAAATATCAGTAAATTACTCACAATATATAAATACAGCATCAGTAATTACAGTGGATAGAAGTGAAATTGAATATTATACTTAGTATGTAGTTCATTGCAGTCTTTAAACATACCAAATAAAGGCCCAACACATATTTTAGATATTAAAGAAATAAATTTGTTACTCCTTAGAAAACACAAACTAAAGCCAACTCCATCTCCCCCCAGGTATTAATACTATATTTTGAGAATCTGTGAAGTTGACAGGAAAATTGGAATTTCAAATATGGTAGCTCTTCATTTTGCTTTTACATTCTGCCATTGCTCCTATAGCAGTGACTTTTGGCTAACATCTTCTGGATTCAGTACTGAAATTAGGAGCCAAAGTAACACAAATGAGGTTGCCATATTGTGTACCTTTGTGAATATAGATTCTCCCCACCCCAACTTTACAATTTATATTACTCTTACTTGTTCATGTGTACATTGTATTTACCAAGTAAACAATAAGCTTCTTGAGGGCAGAATTGTTTGTTTTTTTTATCTTTGTTTTTCCCAGTGCATAGCACACTGCCTTTTACAATAAATGTTTGTTGAATTGAATAGCTTTTTTTCCCCTCAATTTAAGGGAGGAAAAGACGGAACAATTGTTAGATTGTAAACAGGAGCTTGAACAGATGGAGACAGAACTAAAGAGGCTTCAGCAAGAGGTTTGTTCCTGGAAATTTTGGTTGGAAACACAATTAATAAAAACTTCATTTTGCTACTAATAATATATATTATTAAATCTTTGTATCATTAATTTATTAACATTCTCTTTCATTTGCTTAACTTTTTACATAAATGCTATTTACTGTTTATCAGAATCCTCTCAATACTTAACTGGTTTTTTTTTTAACTCCTCACTAGTTATCCTCTACAAATACTCTGTTGAGAGATATATGATTTTAAAGGTATAGGGGTAGCTATGTGGCGCAGTAGATATATACTTATTAGCTGTTGTGACCCTGGGCAAGTCATTTAACTTCTATTGACTCCCCACCCCTCCCCCAAAAATAAATAAAGATATAGGTACATTTTTCATTTTTCCAACTATTCTTCAGTAGACTGTATTTATTCATGGACCACTGTGATCAAAGAATGTATTGCTTGTTGGCTTTCCTTATGGTTATGAAACTCTCCACCTTCAGCTGGATTGTTCCTCACACAATAGACATATAGTCATTTGCTAGCTTAGCTCTTCAACAAATCCTTTTCATATTGATAAAATCTGACAAAACTTTCATCCTACTGCCATAGTCTTTGAGACCTCAGGTCACCTCTGTGAAGCATTGAAATAGGATTTGAGACTTTATGCATAAGGTAGTTTTTGTTTGACAAAACAGGAAATCTCTGAAATTCTAAACTGTTTTTCTGTCAAGTGATGATATTAATGTTACTTTACAAAGCACCTCTGTTGGATATGTATGTTAGGCATCAGATATTACCATAATGATTAAATGGGAAAGACCATATATCTTTTTATTCCTGAAATATTTTTGGTTTTTGTAAAATCATTCACAAAGGTTTATAATTCTATTTGTCCCTAAGTTAATTCAGAACTGTTTTCTGGCACAACTCATAACCTTTTCTTTACCACACTATATTTCCTTTTAGAAATTAGATTCTTTAAATTTTCCTTTTTAACAAAAAGACCTCTAGCTTTCAATTTAGTTTATTCTTTGATCTCAAGTTGTTTACTCTAACTTATTTCAACTACAATATAATTTTTTTTCTTTTTATAATCGAGCACCTCAGGGAAGTTTATAAAACTGTGTTATGGATTATCTCTACAATATAGGAACCCAGGGCAAGGAAAAGTTATTTCACCCCACGTATCTTTGCTATTGCACAGCCCCAGCATGTAGCCTTCCAAATGTCATTAATGATTCATGTTGCTACTAGTTATACTATGGCCACCACTGTACTTTATAATCTCCTCTGATATCATACCAGTCTGGTTGATTATCTTCCTACTTGTGTAGATGTGTGTGTGTATAACATGAGAAGCAATGAAATATAGTGAATATATAGTTGTCTTTGGAGTTGGAATGACTTGGATTGAACTTCTACCCTTATCTCACCTGACACATCCTAGTGGTGTGACCTGGGCAAAGTATTTAATCTTGCACTGTAGGCAAGTTTCTAAGGCTAAAAGTTGCGGAGAAAATCTTCACCTGAATTGGTAAAGAAAGTTTCCTCCTTTATCTATATTTGTGAAATTACACATCAAGTTCCTATTTTATCCCTAAATGATAAATTATTCATGAAAACAGCAGTACTCAACACTTTAAAGTTGTATTCATGTATAAAAATAATCTAATCTAAATATATGTATACATATGTGGGTATATATACATATAGATTTGTCATGATTTCATTAGTATATGGGACCTCGTGGTGCAGAACCCCATTACCTCTCTATCATATAAAGACAGTATTTATGAGAGGCATGATTTGAATCTAAGTCTTCCTAACTCCAAAGCATTTTCCTGTCCACTATGTCATATTTCTTCTTGATTTTATGTTATTATGATACAGTTGATATTTTTCATATTGAAACAGTGTCACATTGATTTTATAATTGCAAAATGTAACGTTGGTAAGAAAGAAGTCATGATTGATTTTTGCTTTTTATTCTCCTTTGAAAAGATAGTTTTTAAGAATTATTTACACTTTTAGGGGCATTATCTTAATTGTGAATCTAGAAATACAAAATGAAAAAATGCTAACTTTATGTATTACATATTTATTAGAATATGAACTTGCTTTCGGATGCTCGCTCAGCCAGAGTGTACCGAGATGAATTGGATGCACTTCGAGAAAAAGCAATCAGAGTTGACAAACTTGAAAGTGAAGTCAGCAGATATAAAGAGAGGCTGCATGATATTGAATTTTATAAAGCAAGAGTTGAGGTATGCTATGTCATTCTTAAACTGATTGTGATACTTTTTTTCTTTCAAAACTTATTTGCACTAATAACTTTAATTTTTTCCCATAAATGCAGTAAGGTGTTAGAATCCTGTTGAACAGACAAATACTTTAATATAATTTACTGCCTTCAGTAATAGAACAGAACCTGTTAGAGTGACAATGTTATTTTAGGATATAATGGTGGAATAGGATCTCATACCTCTTACTAATGGTTTTGGTGACTTCTTGGCATCATTTACCGTTGCTATTTCCTGTCTTAGCCTAGTGATAATCTTACAACATTTCTTCACTGCTACTTATAAACGTATTTGTCATATTTCCAAGCATGATTTCAACATTGAAAACAAAAGAATATCCTTAGTTACAGTCTCACCTATAGTTAGTGAATTTGTCAGATTATTAAAGTCTACAGGTGAAAAAACAACTTAGGAATTGTTCTGTTATTCTCTGGTATTTAAATCTTGAAAAAATTACTATTTGACTTGACCTGAGTTTTCACCAAGCTTAAACAGTGGTGTTAGGGCTTCATGACTAATAAAAATTAGTAGAATTGATTGGATGGATGGTGCAGGTAATTGTTTGGCAGAAGATATATGCCTTTAAAAATTATTATTTTCAGTGGATAGAGCAACGTCCCTGAAGTCAGGAGGACCTGAGTTCAAATCTGGCTCGGACCAAATACTTGACACTTACTAGCTGTGTGACCCTGGGCAAGTCACTTAACTAACCCCAATTGCCTAAAAAAAAAAAAATTGCTATTTTCGTTCACCTTATAGTGTGTATGATTTCTAACCTGATTGTATTAAAATTTCTTTCTGGATAAAATAGTAGATATCTGTCTGCCCAGAATTTGTACTGTCCTAAATAGTTCTCTCCTTTAACTGTATCCAACTGAAATTCAGCAGGTGAAAAGAATTATTTTTTTTGTCTGCAAGGGATTAGCTGCAGGACTTGGCAGAGGTCTTTGAAATCTTAACCTGTATAGAGACTGTTACCTTTTTATATTTCTAACGAATAGATCTGTCGATTTTACTCCTCTGCTCAAGAACCTTCAGTGGCTTCATGTTTCCTCTAGGATTAAATAGATATAGATTCTGCTATTTATTTAAAAGCTTTTACAATCTGGCTCCAGCCTATCTTTCCAGACTTATTTTACATTATTCTCTCTTATGTGCTCATTGTTCCACTGGGACTGACCTGTTTGCCTCTTCTGTTTATACAACAATTCTCATCCTGCTGCAGATGCTGCATCCATGGCTCTTGGAATTCCTGGCTCTCTTCAGAACTCAGTCTAAATGCTTTAGAGGCCTTGTTCTGTGAGAGCTCTTATTCCCCTTGTGGCTTCTGTTCTCATTATGACATTATTTTGTATTTATTTTGAATTTTTAAAAATGTACTTGTTTTGTAGTTTACTCTCCCCCAATAGAGTGTAACCTTACATTCCAAGAGGGCATAGAATTTTGTTAATTTTTATGCTTTTGTATCCCTAGGACCTAGCATCTTGCCTCTCACATAATAAGTACTTATTAAATGTGTGTTGAATTTAATTAAACCTAGTTTATAGGACTATTTCAAGGAAAATACTTTGTAAGGTGTAAAGTTTTATTTAAATATGAAATGGTATTCATCGTAATGATGCCTTTAAGTCTCCTGGGCAATATTTGATCTTGAGTCATTAATCATCCTTTTCACTTTGCTATTTTTTCCCTTTTGTCATTATGTAATTTTTTATTCCCAGTGCCTTTTGTATTTTTTGTCATTTTATTCATTAATAGGCAGCATGATTACTCTTTAAGATTGTAAGTTACAAATGAGTTACTGATCTGCATTAGCAGAGGGAGTTTCCACACTGGAAGTTCCTTATATATCAGTGAAATCGCAGGCCCTTACCCACCTTCCACCTCCACTCCCAATGGTGTACGAAACATGAAATGCTGCACCAGTACTTTAGGACATTTGGGTTCTGGTCTTGGGTCTACCACTCCTTATATTATACCTTTGACTTGAATTCCCTAGTTCTGTTTTCCTCATGTTAAAGTGAGTGGGCTGAACTTGACACTTTTATAGATACTTAGTGACTTTAAAATTCTATGCTTATATGCAACTGAAAAGAAATATGCCTTATAGATTAAAATAGCTTCCTTTTTATGTTTTATGACTTGTTTTCCTTTCTGGTGATATTCTACTTTAGGTCATATTTAACCAAGTTTGGTGAAATTGGGGAAGGGAAATATAGTTAACTTAGGTAATTTAAGCAAAATGACCACTTTCATTTTAAACACAGCATAATTGTGATAAAAGCTATCTGTTTGAATAATTGCTTCCATTACCCAATTTTCTCTGCTAGTTTAGATCTGACTATAGACAGAAAATATGAACTAGTAGACTTGCTTGTTTATTTCATGCTTTCGCCTTCTCCCTGTAGATTTGTATGTATTATCATGGGGTGCTACATTTCTTGCAGTAAATTTTATATTTTGAATGGTTGAGCCTGTAGACAAATTTAAACAGAGATAGATTTAAAATAATGATTCTCTGTTTGATTTTAGGGAATTTGAATTTTGAGTTACCATGTCTATCATGCAGAGCCCACAAACTAATTTAAAGGCAATTGGCCCAGTAATGATTTCCGATAACCTATTTTGTACCATTTTCCCATTCTCTGATGTTTTATTTTACCAGATTAGGGATATGTGTTAATTGTAGTGGAAGACTGAAAAGGGAAACCCTAACCTGGGAATTAGTTGTGATTATGTTATAACTTGAAAATTATTTAAAACTAGACTGTATAATTGAATATGCACTTGAAAGTGCCTGGCTAATTATTAAATATATATGTGAAAAGCTCTTAATATTTATATAAAATGTGACCTGTGGAAGGATTTTACTAAAGACCATTGTTGTAAAATACTAACTTATCCTGTTGGCTTTGATTTTTACTGTATTTCTTAAGGCATATTGTCTGTATTTTTCCTCCAGATATGTTGCATACAAAACTTGAAAGCAAATAAAGTGAAGAAAGCAGTGATGATAAAAATGAATATGTCTTTATTTGAATTGAAAAAGAAATGTAAAAATAGATTTCATAACAAATAGATTTAATAATGGCAATTTTCTGTGAATCTTTGTGTATGTATAGGTTCCATAGAAATAGCCATACACTAACAATCTCAGCCATTTAGATATCTATTTGAATACATCTTCAAATTTTATTCAGGCTTAAAGCTCTTGCCAGGTTGCTAAGGTAAAATATGTACTTAGTCAAGTATTTATTGGGCACAAGGACAAAATTAAATAGTCCATGCCCCTAGGGAGCTAACAGTCCATCAGGTGTGAGACAATATGTACAAAATATATATCAGGTTAGTACAAAGATGGGAGAGAGTGGCACTAGCAACTGAGGGAATTAGAAGAGCACTTATGTAGAAGCTGACTCTTTAGAATTTCTTTAATAATACTTGAAGAAGAAAATAATACTTTTGCTGCTGTTAGGTATTTCTTCCACTGATGTGAATCAGAACCTCTCTCTGACTCAGCAGATCATCTTTGAAAATTACTGTGGGGGCAGTGAGGTGGCACAGCAGATAGACCCCTGGAGTCATGAGGACCTGAGTTCAAATCCGGCCTCAGACACATAACACTCACTAGCTGTGTGACTCTAGGCAAGTCACTTAACCCCAGTTGCCTCACCAAAAAAAAAAAAATTAAATTAAAATTATAAAAAAAAAAAAGAAAATTACTGTGGCTGAAAAATTCATTATTTTGTGGTTATCTTGGTTATGAATCTACCTAGACTTGTCTAGGTTGGTTCTTAGAATAGATATCTTTGATCTCCTAAATTTTTGGTAGTATCTTTCAGAGCTTGCACTTTGCCTTCAAGAACCCAAGGTTAATTTCGTGTTCAGGGATATATTAAATTATATTAATAGAGTATGTAACATAAGTAGCTGAAATCCTGGTTCAGTTTTTTATTGTAATTACTTAGTATGCTGGAATGACTAATAGTCTTTCTCTGCAAATTAAAAAGTGTAAGTGAAGAGAAAGCTTTGAATACCTTTTTTGGGCAGTCAGCTCTGCATGTTTTATTATTTGTTGTTTCTGTTAACTAGAAGACATAATCCTAGTGCTTCATCTCCATTAATGACTTGAATTTTTGCCCATGATTTCATTTAAAATAATAGCATGTACTCATCCTTATTTAAGGTCTTAAGTAATAATTATTTTCAAGGTAGTTATTTAGAATATCCTTTTAAAAATCTATAAACAGATTATTTATGTTATTGTTTTTATGTATATTATTAGTGAATACCTTTGGCCTACTATAGAACTATATATTTTTTCTATGAAATCAGTCTATTTTATTAGGTAAAATGTTTTGGGTTTTGTTTTGTTTTTGTACTCAATACAGTATATTTACCGGGTTCTTGTATTTTCTATACCTCTTGGGCAATTATGTAACTGAAGTTGTCTTCTATAGAGAATTCATCTGCAAAAGCCTACCTGTGAGGCAGCCTGTTATAGTGGAAAGAACATTGGACTAAAGGTGATGAAACATAGGCTCATATTCTATCCCAATGCTTACCAGCTCTGTGATCATGATGAGTAAATCACTTGACTTCTTCAGAGCTTCAGTTTGCTTATCTTAAAATGGAGATAATTATACTAGTACTACCTACCTCATGGATGTGATATGAGGAAAGCACTTTGTAAATCTTTAAACATTATTTAATGAGAGTTATTGTTCTCATATTTTCATCAAGGATACGCGCTTTACATCTGGTTAGGGCATTTAAAGATTTTATAGAGCAAAGGAAGTACCATATGGAAAAGCAGTTACTTGATGTCTTCTCAGATTGCCTTTTATGGTAGGAATACCATCTTTGAACTTTTTCAGTATTTTGGTATCTTGCCGTCCTACTAAGTTCTATGTCCTCAAGACTCTGTTAGGCTCTGGGGAAAAATAAGAAAATGAAATAGAAGTACATATAAATGATTGTTCACTGACTGATAGAATATATAACAGGTAATTTTGGAGTAAGACACTAGCAGACCGGGAAAGGATGCATGTAGAAGAGGCCCATGTATCAAGAATAAAGGATAATATTGACATTTCAAACATTTCATTGTATTGTAGTGGTTAGATTGCTGAATTTGGAGAACATGTAGAGTCAAATCCTGGTTCCAATATTTACTAGTGTTGTTATTGTGGACAAGTTATTTAACATCTCTAAACCTCAGTTTCCTCATCTGTGAGGACAGGCCTACCTCACAAGGTGCTTGTGAGGTGCAAATGAGATGTAATTGTAAAGCATTTTGTATACCTTAAAGTATTTTGCAAATCTTTGTTATGATTATTGTGTTGGTGTCCACAAACCACTAAAAGATCTCTGAGAAAATACTCCAATGATTTGTGTGCAACATGAACCAATGAAAGTAGTACTCATACTGATGAAGTCTTAGATCCATCAAAGTATAGAATCATTTTATTGTTTTACTATTGATACAGGAAAATTATTTTCACTGTTATTTTGCTAGGTAATTACTGCTGAATGACACTATTACCACACCGAGGTCTCAGAGGTTGAAACCTAGGTTTTATTATTTTTAAGCATAGACTTGGAGCTTAGAAAAAAGAACACTGAACCCTGATTAGAGTTTTGAAAAGGCATATATAGTTTCCAGTTACTTCAGAGAGGCAGAGAAAATGTATTAATCTTACTGTTTTACTATTAAAATAACAGCGTTTTGTTCTTTTGAATTCTTTAAAGTGTACAGATAGTAATGATATTTATTGTGATGATTAAGCCTTATTTAAAATGTTTGTAGGAATTAAAAGAAGACAATCAAGTATTACTGGAAACAAAAAGTATGTTAGAAGACCAACTAGAAGGAACCCGCACTCGTTCTGATAAATTACATGAATTAGAAAAAGAAAACTTACAACTGAAGGCCAAACTACATGATATGGAGATGGTAAGAGTATAAACTGGGTAGAACATATGAGTTTTAGGGGGAAATATACAGCAACTTATTTCTTCTCAATGCAGGAGAATGAAGAATAGAGTGGAATGGTTAAAATGGTTCATTTTAAATTTAATTTAGCAAACGTTTCATGAGCACCTTCTATGTTCAAGACACTCTAGTAGGTACTAGAGACAGAGAGGTGAAATAAGACATATTCTTAAGGGACTTACAGACTTATTGGGATAGAACTTGTACTTATTTGTGGTTGCATAATGTGATAAGTGTAAAAGGAATTTCAAAATAAAACACTGTAAGAAATAGTATATAAATATAAGTAAATATAGAAGCCATACTCATTGGAAAGTCAAGGAAAGAAGACTTCATGGAAGGGGTGGCACTTGGTTTAGGTCCTGAAAAAAAGGAGATGGGGACTAAAATGAGGGTGGGGGAAAAGAATCCATTCCAGTCATGAAGGAATGATAGAAGATGAGATGCGGAGAAGAATATAGTAACACAGGTGGACTAGAAGGTTAAATATCTGAAAAGGGAAGTAGTGTATGTAAGAATGTAAATTTATGGGGTGCAATACAGTGTACAGAGCTCTGGCCTTGGAGTCAGGAGGACCTGAGTTCAAATTTGGCCTCAGACACTTGACATGTACTAGCTGTGTGACCCTGGGCAAGTTACTTAACCCTGATTGCCTCACCAAAAAGTAAAAAGAAAAAAAAAAGGGATGTAAATTTATCTTGGAGTGTGATTGTGGAAAGCCTTGTGTCAAGATAAAATAGTTTAAATTTTACCCGATTGGAGGCTTACTTAAGTAGCATAGTAGGAATATGCAGTATGATTGGAGAAGGGTGAAGACCAGAAAAGAGGGCATTATAGTAGCTTGGGTATGGAAAGAAGGCAACTCATGGAGATGGAAAGAATGGGCAGCAGCTTGGCAACTAGTTCTATGAAGTGGTCATGGAGAAAAGAAAAAACAAAGATTACCAGGAAGAGGCTGGTGCCATTAGCTCATAATAAAGAAATTAGGGCAGAAGTAGATTTTAGGCAGACAGGTGGGTAGAAATAATGAATTATTCCATTTTGGATGCAGAGTTTGAGCTTTGGTCATGTGGTAGTTTCAAGCTATCTGCATAGAAGTCTTTATTTGAACCCTGGGTCTCAATTAACTCAGCATAGGAGCAAGTAGAAGGAGAGAATGTAAAAGGATAAATGCCAAACTTTAGGGGTTTCTTGACTGACCTGAGCTATCAAAAAAGAGAAGAGACTGAGGGAATTGGGTAATAAGTATTATGCAAGTTAGGAAAGATAGAAAGAAGGAAGAAGGCAGCTTCAGAGTCAAATGCTAGGAAAGTCAGAGGGTATTGTGGACTGAAAAAGGGTCATTGAATTTGGAGATTGGTAGGTTATGAATGACCATGGAAAAAATCCATTTCAATAGCATGTTGGGATGGCAGCTAGATTGCAAGAGGTTGATGAGTGAGTAGGAGGTAAGAAAGTATAAAGTATACTTCCTAGAGATTTCTTAGTGAAAAATTTAGAGAAAAAAGCAGGCTAGATTGAGAGGACTTTTTAGAATAAGGGAGACTAAATTGTGGTTATAGGTCAAGGGAAAGGATGTTGCTTGATAAATATAAGTTCATAGTGGAAATGGGAAGGTTTAGGAATCATGAGGTCAGCCTTGACAAAAAGGATTGCGTAATCCAGTGAGATTGGAAGTAAGGAGAAGATGAATGAGAAAATAGATTTGGGGAAGGGAGAGAGAAGCAATCAATTAAATTTTAAAAAACATTAAGCACCTACTTATGTGCCAGATTCTTCCAGGTGCTGAGGATACAAAACTGAAACAGTCTCTAATCCTCAAGGAACTTGCATTCTGCAAGAAAGATACAGTGTAGAACCAAATGCAAAATAATTTGAACTGGAAAGATCAGGAAAAACTTTTAGGGGAAAGTGGCTCCTGAGCTGAATCAAGAATGGTAGAGGTAGAGCTGAGAAGGGAGTGTATTCCAGGCCTGAGAGAATACTTGGGTAAGGCATATGAAGGTGAGAGAGTTTGGGAAACAGCTAGAAAGAAAGTTTATTTAAAATGTAAAGTACAAAAATGACAAATATGAAGATGAATTTTAATAATAATACTGTTAATAAGCCTGAAAAGGTAAATGGGTGTCAGATTATGAAAGACTTTAAATGCTGAGATGAGGTTTGATTTTTATTCTACATAAAATAGCCACAAAAGATTTTGGACAGAAGAACATGGTATGAGGAGAACTAAGAAAAAACTGTTGGTATTTAGCAAGTAGGAAATGATTTTGGAATTGCTATATTAAAATTGAATTACACTTTGTTATTTTTATTGCTGTACATAGTAAGGAAAAAAGATACACCATATAACATTTTATAATTTATAGTTTGTTTCATACAATCCTCCTTTTTTGTTACATTTCACATATTGGAATGCTTCTATATTTGTTGTTGGTGATTAAGTTCATAATTAAAAAAAGAACATTTTTTTAAAAGAAAAGAAAGATAGCTAGTAACTTTGTAAGGAAGTTTCAGTTCAGTGATGGGTTGGAATCCAGGGTACATTTTAGCAGTGAAAAATTTAGAAGTCTAACTATAGGAAAGGTGTAGATAAGGCTGGAACAAGATGTATGGATTGTCAGAAAAAGGAGAAATGGAGGGATTATAAATCATAGTGGAGTTAAGGAGCAAATTTAGACAGATTAAAGTAGCAGGAGAGATGGAACAGAAAATTATAACCTGAAGGAAAAAAAGTAATAGTTTAAAAAAAATCAGTCTTAAATTATTAAAGGATCCTTCAAAAATTCAGTGACATATTCTTTGCCTGAGTGGTACAGGAAATATTATACAAGGCTTTATGTTGTTTACTGTTTAGAGGGCTTACAAATTTAGAAGGCAACAATCAATACATTTTTGTGATAAAACACAAAAATATAGCTTTTCCTAAAACTATCCAGAAATCTCATATAATATCTCTGAACTGTATACTTTGAGCTTAGATGACCTTAAAAAGGGGTTTAGTATATATTTAATAAGAATAAGAACACATATCTAAAATATTACATTTTTAAAGTTCACACTTTGGTAGAGTTAATTTCTTATGTTGTTATAATTTCAAGTAATGGTTTTTTTAAAAAAGTAAATTTTTAACTAGTGAAATAGTAGCTAGTTAGTATAACTTAGTATTTATAGATAATTTATATTTATATTAAAGTATGCTTCTCTTTCCTCCAAGGAACGTGATATGGATAGAAAAAAGATTGAAGAACTAATGGAAGAAAATATGAGTTTGGAAATGGCGCAGAAACAAAGTATGGATGAGTCATTACATCTTGGCTGGGAATTGGAACAGATATCAAGAACTAGTGAACTCTCAGAAGGTATACCAAAATATGGTCAGAGTTCAATAGAAACATCAGAATTATGAAATAGTGTTTTTTCCCAGATTAAGTCACTGAATTTCATATTTAGAAGGGACCTCAGTGTTGCATTTAGTGGTATCCATACTTAGAAAAAGAACCCTTTTTACGGGGCAGCTAGGTGGCGCAGTGGATAGAGTACCTGCCCAGAAGTCAGGAGGACCCAAGTTTAAATTCGGCCTCAGACCAAACACTTGACACTTACTAGCTGTGTGACCCTGGGCAAGTCACTTAACCCGAATTGCCTTTAAAAAAAAAAAAAGAACCCTTTTTACACCATATCTGATAAGTAGCTTATCCATCCTTCTTGAAGGCTTCTGGTAAGTGGAAGCCTATTACATGCAGTGATAGCCCATTCTGCTTTTAAATAACTGAAATTGTTAGGAAGTTTATCCTAAACTTAAATACACCTCTTCAACCCACTGCCCATGTTTTTCCCTTCTGGCACAAGGGAACTAAGTTTAATCCCTCTCTTCCATGAGTAACTAAAATATTTAATTTCAACAAGAATTTTATTAGTACCTACTATGTACAGGTCTGTATGCATAATGCTGGGTATACAGACACAAAACCAAAAAACAATACTTTAAGGTTTTCAGAGTGCCTCACATAGATTATTGTTTGATCTCATAACAATTCTGTGAGGTTAGTACTACAGTTATTACCCCCACGATACAGACTAAAAAACTGAAGTTCCTGGAGAGAGATGAGAAAATACACATCCCTCCTTTCATTGGCTATAAGGTCTTTCAGTCTCCTTCGACATGTCAGATTCATCTTTGTTACAAGGGGAGGGGATGAGAAGAGAAGTGGCTTATTCAGGAATGAATGTGATGTTTAAAATAAAAAGAGTAAAATTATAATTAAAAGGTAAGAGTAAAAAAGAAACTGAGGCCCAGAGAAGTGTAGTTGCTTTGCCATAGTTCACTCAGCTAATAATTGTCAGAAGTGGGATTTGAATCCAGGCCTTTCCTGACTCCAGTGGAGGCCAAGTGCATCCACTTTGCTCCATTGTTGAGCAATAATTGAAGGAACAAACTGCACTCTTGACTCTCTAATAACTATTCGTCTTACAGCTTATTGTCATTTGCAAATTTGATAGGCAAACTATTAATTCTTTAATAGGTACTAATCTTGGAATGAGATTTTGAAGATATATATTAGTTATTATGTGGATAATGAAGAAAGTACACTGGATACTGGATTTGAAAGTACTTTGTATTGTATTCATCAATATCAATGAGCTTATAAATAAAGCATATCTATATATACTTACATATGTACTTATATGTACAAATACATACTTATGTGTGTGTTTAATAAATGAAAGAATTTTGTATTAATAATTCATATTTATCTATATTTTCCCAAAAAGACTTGAGTGAGATTCTAATTGGCTGAAGAATTGTAGTTACTAATCACCTACAAATGATGGTTGACAGTTATTTCAGAATGTCATTCTCATTTTCTTCATTAATTCCCTTGAAATTCTTGATCCTTTATACTTCCACATGAATTTTGTTATTTTTTTCTAGGGCTCTGAAGTAAGTGGTTAGTAGTTTGGTATAAACTGAGTAAGTAAATTAAGTTAGTAGTATTATTTTTATTAAATTGAATTATTCACCTATGAACAATTAACATTTCTGTAGTTTTTTAGATCTCTCTTTACTTGTATAAAAAGTGTTTTGAGGTTGTGTTTATGTGGCTTCTGTTTGTGTCCTGGCAGGTAGACTCGCAAGTATTTTATATTTTCTGTATGCTTTCTGAATTTCTATATTTCTTCCTGCTGAATTTTCTTGGTTATATACAGAAATGCTAATGATTTATGTGGGTTTATTTTATTTCAGTGAGTTTTTTAGTAGATTCTTTAGGGTTTTCTAAGCCATCACATCATCTGCAAAAAATAATTTTGCTTCCTTTTTGTGCTTATCCTCTCAATTTCTTTTTCTTGTCTTATTGCTAGAGTTGTTATTTCTAGCACTATATTGGATAGAAATAATGATAATGAACATCCTTGCTTTACCTCTGATCTTATTGGAAAAACTTCTAGTTTGTCCCTATTTCAGATAATGTTGACTCTTTGTTTTGAGATAGCTATCATCTGTTTATTCCTGTGCTTACTAGTGCTTTTTTTTCCAACAAGAATCAATATTATGTCTTGTCAAAAGCCTTTTCTGTACCTCTTAATATAATCATAGGATATTTGTTTTTCTGGTTATTAATGTTGTCAGTTATGTTTATAATTCTTCTTATAGTAAACCAAACCTGCATTCCTGGTATAAAACCAGCCTTGTCATAGTATATAATTTTGTTATATGTTGCTGTAGTCTCCTTGCTAATATCTTATTTCACATTCCTTGGAAATATTGATCTATAGTTTTTCTCTATTTTGACTCTTCCTAGTATAGTTATTGACTATGTTGCTAGCTTAGGAGGAACTTGGTATAACTCCTTCATTTGGGGGGGTGGACCCCTCCAAATACCTTTAAAAATGACTAAACAAATTTTAGAGCAGCAGAACCCACAAAAAGACAGAGTGAAACAAATTTCCAGCCTGAGACAACCTGGATGTTTGATGGGAAAGGTCTGTTGCACTGAGCTGGGAGAGGAGCATAGTCCAGTACTGTGCCTATGTAGACTGGGCCCTAGCAAACCCAGAGCAGGCCTTACAGGACTGAATCAGAGGCAGCTGTGGTGGTTTCCACACTTCTCAACCCACAAACGCCAAAGACAGCTTAGAAGGTTAGTGGGAAAGGTCTGTTGGACCTGGGTGAGAGAGGAGCACAGTCCAGCCCTGGCCCCAGTGCAGCCTCAAGGTGGCGGCAGTGGCTGCTTCCAGAGCTCTCAGACCACAGATGATAAGGGGATCAAACAACTGATCAGAAGGAGATTACAGGGATCTCTTAGCTGTCACGGAGGTAGGATTCTGTTGCTTTGCCCATACTTGGATCTGGGTCGCAGTTCTGGGGTGAGGAGGAGTGCTGGCATAGCAGAGCTTATTAACAGCAATGGAGAGTGAACCCTCCTCACAGTTCCAGGGCAGAAAAGAATGCTCGTGATCACTTACTGACCAGAGCACAGACTGGAAGAGGAGTAAACACCTCTCCTTGGAAGAACTGAATACTTACAGATCCCTAGAAGTATCTCTGAAAATAGCTGCACAAAATCCCTGAATCTTGGGACAGTACACCCTCCACACTGGAAGCAGAGCCCTACCTTAACACAAGGAGTTAATAAGTCAAGTAATTGGCTGGGAAGATGAGCAAACAGCGGGATGAAAAAACTCAAATTATAGAATCTTACTTTGGTGACAAGGAAGATCAAAACATCAGAAGAAGACAACAAAGTCAAAGCTTCTACATCTAGAGGCTCCAAAACAAATACAAATTGGTTTCAGGCCATGGAAGAGTTCAAAAAAGGATTTTGAAAACCAAGTAAGTGAGGTAGAGGAAAAAGTGGGAAGAGAAATGAGAGTAATGCATCATGAAAAACAAGTCAATAGCTTGCTAAAAGGAGACTCCAAAAAAATACTGAAGAAAATAACACCTTAAAAATATAGACTAGATCAAATGGCAAAAGAGATCCAAAAAGCCAGTGAGGAGAAGAATGCCTTAAAAGGAAGAATTGGCCAAATGGAAAAGGAAGTCCAAAAGCTCACTTGAAGAAAATAATTCCTTAAAAATTAGAATGGAGCAAATGGAAGCTAATGGCTCTATGAGAAATCAAGAAATTATAAAATAAAACCAAAAGAATGAAAAAATAGAAGACAATGTAAAATAACTCATTGGAATAACAGCTGCCCTGGAAAACAGATCCAGGAGAGACAATTTAAAAGTGATTGCACTACCTGAATGCCATGGTCAAAAAAAGAGCCTAGACATCATCTTTCAAGAAATTATCAAGGAAATCTGCCATGGTATTCTCGAACTAGAGGGTAAAATAGAAATTGAAAAAATCCACTGATCACCTCCTGAAAGAAATCCCCAAATGAAAACTCCTAGGAATATTATAGCCCAATTCCAGAGTTCCCAGGTCAAGGAGAAAATATTGCAAGCAGCCAAAAAGAAGCGATTCAAGAATTGTGGAAACATAATCAGGATAACATAAGATTTAGCAGCTTCTACATTAAGGGATCAGAGGACTTCGAATATGATATTCTGGGGATCAAAGGAGCTAAGATTAAAACCAAGAATCATCTATGCAGCAAAACGGACTGTAATCAGTGAGGGGGAGGAAATTGATATTCAGTGATGTAGAGGATTTTAATGCATTCTTGAGAAGCCAGAGCTAAATAGAAAAAATTGACTTTCAAATACAAGACTGAAGAGAATCATGAAAAGATAAGCAGGAAAGAGAAATCATAAGGGACTTATTAAAAGTCGAACTGTTTACATTCCTACATGAAAAGATGATATTTGTAACTCATGAGACCTTTTTCATTATTAGGGTAGTTAGAGGGAAAAAATATATATGTGTGTGTGTATACACACACACACACACACACACACAGACAAGAGGGCACAGAATGAGTTGAATATGAAGGGATGATATCTAAAAAATAAAAATAAGGGATTACAGGAATGTACTGGGAGAAGGAGAAAGGGAGAGGCAGAATGGGGTAAATTATCTCTCATAAAAGAGACAAGAAAAAGCTTTCATAGTGGAGGGAAAGGGTATAGTGAGAGGGAGTAAGTGAACTTTATTCTCATCAGATTAGGTTTAAGGAGAGAATAACATAACACACTCAATTAGGTGTGGAAAGTAGGGGGTAAAGGGGATAAGAGAGGGGAGTGGTAATAGAAGGGAGGGCAAATTAGAGGAAAGGGTAATCAGAAGGAAACACATTTGAGGAGGGATAGGGTCAAAGGAGGGAACAGAATAAATGGAGGGCGAGATAGGATGGAGGGGAAATATAGTTAGTCTTTCACATTGTGACTATTAGGGAAGTGTTTTGCATGACT